GCCCAAAATATGCTTTGGTTTTTAAACGAGTGCAAAAACATTTCTGGAGAGAACAATTGCAGACACTGTTCACGCACACTATCGAATGGAGTATACTTAGAAAGACTATGCATTTGACTGTATGTGTACGCTAGCATGCACGTAAGTTTACTTCAGGTATAAGTGTTCACGTCAAAACTGAGCTATACTTTGGTCTTAAAAGAACTGCATATAGTTTTGTGTATTTATGAGGCTTTGAAGCCCTTTACAGTTAAGTGAGTGGAATTTATTGTTGTAAATATATCACTGTAATTACAGTGAATAGCTGTACATGTGTGTTTGATGTTGGCATAAGGCAATCCACCCTTTTCGCAGATTTTCCAAGCCGCTCACTAAATTTACATACTTCCAGAACAGATGTCTGCGAAGGAGTGTGGGAAAGAAACAAACCATTCACCTTATTTGAAGTCAGTGTATCATCAGAATGATTTTTGAAACTGATACTTCAAGGTAAAAAAAAATGTAAGTCATTAGCTGAGCATGAAGTTGACCTGTCGGGTCTCCCAAACAATCTTTGGAAGTCCTACAGATGTCTTTCACTTGAACGTTAAACTGTGAATTCTAACATTGGAAAAATTACACGCTTCACCTTTAAATCCACCCGATGGCACCAAATTTGGCTGATTACAGTGGAGGCAGAATGTGGATTGAAATCTCCCTATCTGAGAGCCTCATGCAGATGGGAAACGTGGGGGAAAGCGAATGTAGTTTCAGCCAAACGGAGTTTGAGATAGAGGGAGGAAGAGGACTAAAAGAAGTTTTAATGAGAGCTGGCACTGCTCCAGGGCATAGGGGTGAGGGCGGGAGACGGAGGGGAGGAGAAAGGAGGTGGGTAGGTGCTCGCGGCAGCAGGGGTGCCGTCTTCCTGCAGATGTCACACTGCTGGTGACACCAGCGACCCCCCTCAGACCGCTCCACACTCCCCTCCCTCCCCTTTCTCGGCTGTTTCACACCCCTCCCTTTGCTCTCATCTCCCTCCATCTAACCCTTCTAACTCTTGCTAATGTTAAAGTTTGGTGGTTGTTGGTGTTTTCGATCAGATTCTTTGAGTCTACACTTGAATTTTGTTACATTTTCTTTTTTCGTTTCATTTTCAAACTGTTATTTGTTGCTTTATTACATGACTCTGACATACTTGATTCTGATTGGTCAATTGCTGTCAAGTATTTTCCCCCAGGCAGTTGATTCCCTCTGCAAGTTTCATGTTTCCCATATTACTATCTTTTTTTAAAAAATTTTTTTATACGGAATTCAGTTTCCACCATGGAATAAAAAAGGTAATTACAGCTTATCTCACAATTCTGACTTTTTTCTTGTAATTCTGTGAAATAAACTCAGAATTGTGACCCATTAAGAAAACAATCAGAATTGTGAGATGACAAAAATCAATTACCTTTTCTATTTTTTATTCTGTGGCAGAAAACAAAGCAATTGTGAGATTTAAACTCAGAAATCAGAGAAAAAGTCAGAATTGCAAGATATGAACTCAGAATTGTGAGATGTGTAAAAAAAAAAAAAAAAAAGTTGAATTTTGAGTTCATTCCTCGCAATTCTGAGTTTATTTCTAAGAATTATGAGAGAAAAGTCTGAATTTAGAGAGAGAAATGGGCTCGAATGGGCTTCCATATTTTTCGAACATAATTTAAATTCAAATTAATGTCTATTTATTGATTTGGTTAGTAGCCTTGTGATAAGTTGAATAATATACAGTTAGCTTTTTATCATCACAAAATAACCTCCACTTTTTGTCTGGTTTTGTTTTATGGTAATGACTGACTAAAACATTTATCCAGCTGTACTTATATCCCTTCATTTTTGGATTTAGCCATTAAAATGACTCTTTTTTTCTTCTTTTTTTTTAGACTCCATACCATGTGAACCTGCTCTTGGCAGGATATGATGAGACCGATGGTCCAGGACTATACTACATGGACTACCTGTCAGCACTTGCCAAAGCCCCCTTCGCCGCACACGGATACGGTGCCTTCCTCACCCTCTCCATCCTGGACCGATATTACAGACCAGGTGATTTTTACACTTTCACTTATGAGGATATATTTTTATATATCCTCATAAGTGAGTATAATTTTTTGATTGATTGAATTCTAAGCCTGTTTTTCTGTTATTCTCACTCCAGATCTGACTCGTGAGGAGGCTGTGGATCTGCTCAAGAAGTGTTTAGAGGAGGTAAGTTGCTCTCCATATGCTGGGCTGTTCATGCATCTAATTTCATAATTACTGGTGGTTGTTATGAGAAGCATCACTATAACTATTGTTCATAATTGGGATTAGATTCAAACATATTCAACAAACTTCCCCAAATCCCACATACTTCAAAAATAAAAATGTGGTTTCTATTTGAAAATCTTTTTTTTTTTTTATATCAGACGCTTTTATCCAAAGCGACTTACAAATGAGGACAACAGAAGCAATCAATTGTAGTATTAAAACAACTAAAAACAGATCCAAAACTAAAAGCTAAATCTTTATAAATACTACCTATACACATTTTAAAAATAAAGAGATTAAATAAAAATGACAATTCATACAACAAATGTTCAAAACTTAACATTTAAATGAAAACAAAAAATAAAGCTAAAAACAATTCAAAATATTAAAGAACAAAAGGTATAAGAGTATAATAATGATTCTAACACAACTCTAAGGCAAACACCAAAAAAACAACTACATATGTGTATGTACAACCATACACACATACACACAATATATATACATACATACACATTTATAAATTGAAGATATATATATGATTTCATTTCCATTTAGTTTGTTGAGTATAACTCAAATTAAATAAAACTAAAAACTTAATAAAAGACCTATACATACCGGTACATAATAAATTCAGACATAATTTAACTAAAATTGAAATAAGTAACTAATACAAATCAAATTACAGTAGTTTATCAGTAATCCTAAAAAATAACACTGCCAAACACACATGCTAAAAAACAACAACTTACTTGCACATAGTAAGAAATGGTTATAAAAACTGAAACAAGTAGTAGGAAAGAGGAGAAATAAAAAGCGATACTTATCCTTTGCCGGTGTCCCTGCCCGGTGGAGTTGCACGGTAGAGTCGATGGTCTTTACACTCTTCGGTCTTCACACGAGGAGGCCTTCACGCGACGGCTGCCGCGACTGCTTGGTGGTAGAATGGCATTATGGATCTCTTCGGTTTGCTGTTTGAGGGGCTCTTGGGTTTGGGGGGGAGGTGGGACTGGGCCGCTCTCTTACTAACTGTTGGGGACTCACTTTCAAAGGCCGACTCCTTGGAGACTTCCTCTCTGTATTCTTGCTCACCAACACCGGACAATCATACTTCAGCAAGGAGTCAGTCGGGAAAATCATGGTTACAATGTAGAAGTGTCAAGAAAATGTACAGAGAATTTTTTTAATGTAATTCTTTTTCCCTGTGATGGCAAAGCTAAATTTCACACGATCCTTCAGAAATCATTCTAGTATGCTGATTTGTTGCTCAATAAACTTTTTTCACAATTGTGTGATGGATAGAAAGTTCAAAAGAGAAGAATTTATTCGAAATAAAGATATTTTGTAACATTGTAAATGTCTTTACTCTCACGTCTGATCAATTTATTACATCTATGCTGAATAAAAGTGTTATTTTCTTTCAAAAAACACTTAAATGCTGTGGCTGTGCCTTTTGCTCTGACAAGAACCATATGTTCTTCAGAAAGTGTATAAATCCTTCCGTTTTGGTTCAGTGGGATATACAAACCACTTTTGAGCTATTTCGATCATGTGTTTTGTCATGTTTGCGACTTTATTTTTAACCGTTTTCGTATATTTCCTTGTCCTCCAACAGCTCAACAAACGTTTCATCATGAACCTGCCTTCTTTCACCGTCCGTTTGATCGACAAAGACGGCATCCACGACATGGAGAAGCTTCCCGTGGGCCCTAAATGAGCAACCACTGTTATTCCACTATAATCTCTACCCACACTCTTTTGTACTGCAAATGTAACCCTCTGTGCTCTAATAAAAACATTGACCCCCTGTTAATTATATGGTCTTCTTCTTCTCCTTTTTTTTTGGATGAGAACATTTATTTAGACATAGATTTTTTTTGGTTTTCCACACTAAAACACACTCATAAAGGTTTGTTGTATCTGTTTGTGTCATACAGAAGTTGGCAAAGAGGGGAGGAAAAAGGAGTGGCGTGCACTTATGTTATCTTTGGATGTGTACCTTTTTCCTCACTGCTTTGTACACAAGTGTTTTTGCACTCGCACGAGCACGTCTCCTTCCCCTCTCCTCCACAGACAAGTGATTAATAAACATTAAACAATCCCTCTCTCCTGAACACACCGGAATCTAAAGGGACGAGCAGCATATGTTCGCCTGCAGGCAGAGAGAAATGCAGAGCAGCCCTGCTGAGTGTCAGAGAGATGAAGGGAGGGAGGGGGTCACGGCGAGAGGGAAGCGGGGAATTGACACTCAGGATGGGTACGTGTGTGCATTTGTGTGAGTGAGAGCCGGCAGGGGGGCAGGTATGGAGATGGAGGCCCCTGAGCAGACGAAGAAAGGTAGAGTGATAGATGGGTGAGAGGAGACAGAAGCGGTGGGAGAGAAGAGCCTAGCAACTGTTTAGCCGCATTCGCCGACTGTAGTGATTGCCGAGCCCCCGGGGGTTAGTGGTCAGGACTGTTTTATCTCAGAGGTAATTCTGCTGGATTTTCCACTGTCACATTGAGGTTTGGGTTTGGGTTAATGTCACCCTGCCTTTAGCAAATGGGGCTAGAAATTTCAAACATCCCCCTGGGTGTTCAATTTGTATCGCACTAATTTTGTAATCACGCCAGATTTGTACCATGCCAACAAGTCCATTTATGCAAAGCAAAAACCTGCTAGTTATGTATAAAAAGTTGTTTTTCATCAGGAAGTCATTCTCCGCATCAAGCGGTTGAATTCAGTTGTTGGTTTAATAATATATTACATTTACATTGCAGTACGGCAATAAGAATAACAGTGACATTGATAATAAACATACAACATGAAGTACAAAATTACATTTTCAAATTCATTTGTCAATTCCTAATTACTTTTACACCCCCATTCTTAATTGTCCGTGCCATCTTTTGTGCCATTTGATTGGTTTAGGGGCCCGATCTCCAGAGAACACCGAAAAGGGCCCTGTATTAGTCAGTCATGGGGATCCAGAGGGAGTTTGTGGTCCACATGCAGTGTGAAGCATCGAGGCATTTCTGCTTTCTCTGGAGACCTTGGATTTCATTAGAGACGAATGCAACCAGTTCGTACAGGCGCGAAATGGTGGGGTGAATGTACACATTCGTACACATAAATACACTCATACGCTCCTAAAAGTGAGGGAGGTAGTGTCTCTCTCCCGATTGTTCATTTGCGGTGCTTGAGGTCCTTGTCGTGGTGGCTTTTTCCTCCTCCCTCTCCTTTATCCAGCAGTTTTAGGGCCTCTAGCAAGTAACTCTGGAAGGCTGACAGGGCGGCGCACATGGCGGGTGTGCCGAAACCGTGGGTGAGGAGGCTGAAGTGGGTCAGGCTGCTTTGCACCCCGGGCTCCAGGCAGGGGTTGGGGCGACTGGCACCCAACGGCGACCTGTCCTGCGACATCAGGTCCACGAACTCCTTGCAAATCTCCCTGAAGACGTGGAATGAGAGGTGAGAGTGAGTTTACCATGCGATACAGGTAAATGTGGTTTCAATAACAGTTATTAATGATATTCAAGTAGAAATGGGTTCACAAATAAAACTGAAAGCAGTTTTAATAACATTCCTTTTGAGTAAGTAGAACTATGTGATTGAACCGCTTGAAGATCTTGGCAGATCTAGTACTCACTTGGTGGCCAGCAGCATACTATGTCGTGTGGGCAGCTGATCTGGGTCGGTTTGTCTGCAAAGATACTCTGCTGTGGCTCGGGCAGGGAACTCGGTCTCACACACGTACCCAAAGTCCCGTGCGAGATGAACCGCCTCACCTGAGAAGAGAGCGTGAAGATCGAAAAATAGAACTTGAACGTGCTGACTGAAAGCTTGAGGTGATAATAGACTCTCGAACGTTTAAAAATAAATTCGTAGGCACTTATAATTTTAAGTTAACATTCCTGGAAGGTTAGTGCTTCACATTGATATTAACATCTACGTTCTCACCATAAGTGACTGATAATGTAGTGTGTGTGCTGTGTTTGGGACAATTACTGCAGCAAGTACGAGGCGGTGTCTCAGCAGTAGACATAATCTGATAATGTGTATGTGTCTGGTTTTTATTAAATGTTTCAGTACCTTCCACCAGCGCTGTGAGGAGTGTGACATTAGCTGCCTTTCGCCGACCGGCGGGCAGGTTGAGGCCGATCTTCTCCAGACGTTCTCGTAGACAGCGGCCTCCATTTTTTGACTTGGCTCTGAAAGCGAACAGGTAGAAAAGATTAACACCTCAGCTTCATCCTAAAAATCTGCTGTGCTTCTTCCTCTTTCCTTTCCATTCACCTGCGCAGGATTCCTCCAAGCAGCGAGGCATTGAGGCACTCAGGTGGAGCCAGGCGTCTCTGCACCTCTCCAACTGTGACCTTGTATTTAGACGTGGAGCTTAGGAGCGACAAGCGGCCTGGGACAGAGCAGAAAACCTCTGCGGGGTTGGACACACCACCCAGGCCCAGGCCTTCTTTAGTGAGGGACAAGGCAGAGAACGTTGAGCCGTTTAGCTTTGATGGGACCGGAACTGTTGGAAGAAACAGAAAGCGGTTTAGGGTATGTGTGCCAGAATAAACCCACAGGAGAGTGGAGAGTTCTTATTTTAAAGAAAGTGGTGAGATTTATACAAATGTGATAATTTGTGCTTTTGGATTTGGCCTTAAAACCCTTTTTAAGACGCTCTCCCACAGGTTGACATCTGTTGTCTCAGTGACACTGTGTTTAATTTCTGTTTCTCACTCTTATTTTCAAATGGGTGTTGCTTCTCCATTGGGGGAAAGCTTAATTCCATCTGTTGTGCACACAGTCGTTTTCACTTGATGTGCTTGTAATTAAAGTTTTCTGGCTCCTTAAAAATCTGTCTTTTAAATGAACCCAAAGATTATTGTGTCAAAAAATAACACGATGTAATAAAATAGCAAACATAACACAGAAAATTAGGCTGTTATCTATTAACCCATTTTAAAGCAGACATTGTATAAGCATTCTAATAAAGATTTTTTTCCTCCATTAAACCAAGGCACAAAAAGGAATGAGACTTAAACCCCCATTCAAACTCTAATAATGATTAGTGCTCTGGGAAGAACAGACTACCACTGGCTTTTAATTTCAGCTCAAGTACTTTTGTAATATCATTCCTAAAAAAAATTAATTTGTTTGCATAAAATTAGTCTGTGTGTTGATGCTTAATCGTGCATTTCCGTAAACATAATTAAAACAAAATCGTCTGCCCTGCACATCATAGTAGCTGTAATTCATCCTCCTCCAAAAGGTGAAGCCGAATGCAGAATGTATGTGAAGTAATAGTTGCTATGCCACAGATCAGCCATAACTGCGCTCCCGTGTGTGTTTGCGCGATGCAGCGCTTCTCTCCTCCCCCTTTCCAAGCACTGGCACATAACACACTGTGTTACTGTTTATATTATCTATATCCTTTATTGTAGAGGTAAAATGCGCTGTAGTATTGGCTTTCTCCTCCTCGTGGGCGGTGTGCGCGTCTTCGCTGCGCCCTGCTGTGCGTAAACTGTGAGAGCAGATCCGTTTATTCATGTAGGCTTTAGTTTCTTCTCGACACAGAAATCTCCCTACACCCATGAGTACATAATTGATCCATTCTGTTGCTCGGTAAATACGCCAGATTTCATAGAGCACTAAATATATGCAATAAATCTCTAATAAATGCATAAGTAATTGATGAAAATATGCTGTACTGCACTGCATGAAAGAAGCTATCCTTGTTAACCATCCACTCCATTTTTTTTTCTGGTAAGCGGAAAGGAATGGTGATGCTCTGAATTCTTCATAACTTTATTATCTGCTCTCTTCCTCCATTTCGCCTTTTAATATATGTTCCTTAATGTATACTGTATGTGTAAAAAATATGTTAAGTGGAAGGAATGAGATTTCACGACGTCACATGCATCAACAGATAAAACATTAAAAAAATTGTTCTCCTCAGAAATAAAAGGATAAAAGTTCGTAATAAGACTTCTTTGGTTTTCTCTACATCACTACATCATCTCTGAAAATTAACATCAGATAGTTATCGTTGTGTAATAGTCATTATAGTATATAGTCTATTTAAAGTCGAAGGAATGACCAAGGGAAGAAAATGGTATTTACGCCTATTTGTAGCTTTATGTATGGCAAATTAAACTATCAGGCTTGTTCCCGTGTAACTCGGCTCTCGGAAATGCTTCATATCATCAAAGGGAGTCCAGTTGTTTGCTGAATAATTGGCCGAGCAAACCGATTGGACGCGCTGTAAGTTTCCTATGACAGACAGACACGGACTCTTTCTGCACCTGCCCACTGCTGTTGTCTTCTGTGTGAAATCCGTTTCATGTAATGCATGATATATATACTGTACATATATATAAAAAAATGTAATCATTAATTTTGAGCACGCCAAAAGAGTCTCTTATTTACCCTAAATACATAACCAATAAACAGATAAATTATGTTACGAAGAAACTGAACTGTGTTGTTTAAATTTTAAGAAAAGCAATTGTAAAAATCTGTAAAATAATTTATATTTATTAAAACATTTGTGGCCTTTTTAATGGCAGCAATACCAATGCTTTCATAATTTGATTGAGCATGATTGCTCACTATTTGGCATTAATATCTGAAAAAGAAATAAGATAAAAGTGATTAAACTCACCTGAATGTCATCCAGACCGTGAAGACCCACTGCGTGCATTCCCAGGGGACCTTCACCGAGCGCCGCTGCTCCTTCACCCAGTCCGTGATGGAGCAACCGCGGAACTCCCGGATACTCCCGCCGCGGATCTAAGCTCAGAGCGCGGTGTGACTGAGACAGAAGCCCCGCGTCCTCTGAGCGCGAGCGCTGGGAGTGCCACGCTGCCTGCTGGTGCTGATGGAGGGAGTTGATGGACGTATAGGGGTCCGGTAAATGCGGGTATCCGGTGTCTTGACTCTGGGAGTAAGACAGGGAGGACTGGGGGTATGGAGGTGGAAAGTAGGGCGGCTGGAAGTCGGACGCCGGAGTGTGGCAGAGAGGGGGAGCCGAGGAATACGCTGCCTGGTTCAGCGAAGAGAGATGAGAGAGTCGCCCGCTCGGAGAAGAGCTGGACAGTCCGTCCGCACGGTCCTGTGGGTAAAAAACAGGTTATGAAAATCCATCATAACGTTGACTATCTGGGGTCCGACACATAAATAATCAGAATCAGAATCAAAATCAGAATGAGCTTTATTGCCAGGTATGTTTACACATACGAGGAATTTGTTTTAGTGACAGAAGCTTCCACAGTGTAACAGAATGACAGTGACAAGACAGGACACAGATAATAAAAATAATAATATACAAATATACAAAATAGACAATGTACAAAAAAGCAAAAACACAATATATAATATAGACTGTAAATTAATACTGCAATAAAAGTAACTGTCTATAAACCTATAAAATAAAAATCATACTGTAAAGGTAATGTGTTTTCATCATGTCATAATTGATGCTGCTGTCTGTATCCATTCATTTAATTTGTTACAATAACTTCTGTCATTCTACTCAGGTTTTCAGAGTTTCAGCTCGATTTTCTTCATCGGTAATTAAATTCAAAGTGCAATGAGCATCTTGGAGATTTAAGATAGCAATTATTGATAAGTTCTGAATATAGTGAGTTGATTTTTATATAGCCTACAGTATATGCAGCATAATTAGGCCTCTTTGTTAATTATGAGCTGTGTGTAAATACAGTTATTGTTATTAGCATAATTTATTTAATTTACATATGTGTGACTTATGTCAAGTGTTACTGGGAAGATAACTGCAGATTCTATATTAATTTAATTTGTTTACATTTTATATTCTGGATTTCAGGGTATTACATTAATGGTCGTTAATCATACTATTCATCATTATAACCATACTAAATAAAAATTATAATAGCCTTTTTCTAAGAGCTTTTTTTCTGTGCCAGGTGTCTTAATTATACCCACTGTTTTAGCAGGATTAATAGACAGACAATAGATACAATTAATACTGCTTTACAGGATTACAGGCACAAAAAAACAACAAAAAACAACAAAAAAAAACACGTAGGCCCAATAATTTAGATTTTTGTGCTTCTATAATTTTCCTTACCATTTTCCAATTGCTCTGATATTTTTAGTAAAAATAATTTATATCGACTGAAACCCTATAACAATTGAACGTGACCGCATCTTTCATTTGATACTTTTGCAGATACTCGTTTTATTTTTATTCATATATTTATTTAACTTTTCATTTTTTCCCTTTACATTGATTTGTTTTTTTAAAATTATTTTTACTTTTATTATTTCTATTTAATATTAGCTTTTTGAGAGTGTGGGAAACGCCATCACATGTGATAAGAACAAATCAAACCGACGTTTCTGTCTTGCCTTTTTCTGCCACCGAATTTAATGATTCTCTTTGTTGAAACGCAAGACATAACTTCCAAGTCACTGTAAGACAAAGACTAGTCTGTTATCTCTGTTTAGACCAATGACAGCATGTGACATTTCCAAAGAACCACTCCAGCACACTATTGCGCTTCCATATTATACACACACACAATAACCATTGACCCCGATTACGCTCGCGCGTCTGCGCTTTCATCTACACTCAACGCAGCTGATATCACATGACAATCATCCCGATGAAGAGTCCAACAGATCAAAAGAACTTTGCATCAGTTTGACTCACCATGGTCGAGTAGGTGTGGACTAACATCTGGACACAAGAGCTCCAACGTGCCTTTTACGCGTTGACTTTTACAGCCTCCTTAAAGCCTAGCAGTCAATAAAACCCCGGGATCTCGATCCATTAACTAGACAATCCCAGTGAGGTTCTCCTCTCTGGATGATGCTCTATATCAGACTGTCCCTGTTAATCACACCCGAGCGCTCTTATAGCGCTACACTATGGGGGGAGGGGTTGGGTAGACCACCTTAAAGGGACATTAATTAATTCCTCTAAATTAATTCCTTATTTTCATTAATTTGAATAATTCTTCTACTTTTTTACTGCTTTTTTTGCAGGGTAATGGTTCACCAAACTTCATTGACTATTACTTTACATCATCCACAGTTTATTTATAATGAATTGTGATTTCTATAGGCTATATGTTTCTTCTATCACATAGCAAATAATGTTAATACAGTTTGTGTCCTTGGCATATATTTTAGTTGTATTATTTTCTGCCAGTCCTACCAGCGATTTTTTTTGTGTGAAAATAAACCAAATATTGTTTCTAAATGCGAAGTTTTTTTTTAAGTGATAATCTAGTTCTAGTATACACCAAAAACTTTTTCAATTACATTTTTTTCCTCTGAAATAAACACTATTAATAAGACTATCTATAGCCTACCTGTAAGCAGTAAGGTTCTGTCTTGGTCCGTGATTTCCACAACATGTTCCTGTATAAAGTTGTCTTCCTTTGTTGAATTCAAGACGGGAGAGAACAGACTATGTGCCCTGCGAGATGAACGGTGAGAGAGAGAGAGGTACCGGAGAGTCACGGGAGTTTTACTGACAAAAAAAGACAAGAGTTGAGAGAGGGAGAGAGAGAGGGAGAGAGGGGAGAGAGAGAGAGAGGGGAGAG